TTAAAACAAGAGAATACAAGCTTTAAAAAGACACATTTCTCATGTATCTGTGGCAAGTATTGACTTAGTTACAGTTCATTTTTCGGACGCGTTTCAGAATGGACTTCACTGACAGAGAGAACGCAGAACGCGCATCATGTTTATTTTTCTTTATTTGGCGAAAAGCACAACACTTTGTTTTTATTGTGAGGTTCCACAAAAAAAATACAAACTTAACAGGATCGAATGATGTATAACACTTATATGTAAGATCAAAATCAACAGAGTAATTTGAGTCTCTTTTGCACTGATAAGGAAAAAAGTCAGCTGGTATCGCCGGCGAGACCGCCGACCCCAGAGGGTTAAGTACCGTTTCAAGAACCGTTTAACCACCAGAACCGTTTAAAAAATACCGAGTAGGTACTGGTATCGGATAAAACCCAACCCTACTGACGGGTGACTCTAGGGGGCAGTGGTGCCAGCAGGGCATTTCACTCTTTGACATGAAGAAGTCACACTGCCAGCTATTTCAACACTGTGAAACAAACTCATTTACTGTTGTCTTTGTTGAATTTGCAGGTAAGAATAGTAAATAAAAATAGTGATTGAATAGTGATGTGACATCACAACTGATGTATGTGTAAATTCAATGTGTTAGTTTTAAGTTTTTGTTTTATGTAGTCTTTAATAATGACCACATCGACGCACCCGCGACTTGACAATGTTTAAAAGAGATGAATTCAGTTTCAGTGCACTCAATGTTTTTGTAAAGAGAGTTTACAGTTATAAAGTTGAATAGCCACTTAAAGTGCTTGTATAGAGTTGGTGTATGTTAATTGAGCTTTATAATCTTATTACTGAAATGTTAATGTCAGTAATGTTTTATTTGGTGGGATACACTTTTCATTTTCTGTGACCATACTGTATCAGATAAATGTGCAATGTGAGTTTATTGAAAGTAGTGGTGGGCAGATCGAGGCTTCGTGAAACACTGAAACTGTTGAATCAAATGTGCCATATTGTGCCGAGGCTTCGAACAACCCGACACAGTCTTCACGGTGACCCCTAGTGGCCAGAACAGTGTAAATGCAACAAAAACCCAGCCCAAACATGCATAAAACGACTTTTACAAATCTATTGCTAATCCTTTTTAAGTAAAATCTTTTAATTATTCTAATGTCTAATTAAAATGTCTACAAATGTATAAAACTGATCAGAGATCAGGTAAAACCCTGAGACACTTGTTCATTGGTTCTCAGAGACTCCTCATGATCATGGGTTGACAGAGATCATCGCCCCCAGCGCTGAACCATTGAAATTTCGAAGTGTTTCGAAACAGTTATGACGTAATGAAGCTTCGTTTACTAAAATCACGTGACTCTGGCAGTTTGATACACGGTCCGAACCATTGATCCGGAACAAAAGATTCGTAAAGGTTTCATAGCTTCATGAAGAGTGTTTTGAAATTGCCATCACTAATTGAAAGGGCGTTTCACTTTTTGACATGAAGTCACACTGACAGCTACTTCAACACTTTGAAACAAAAACTAATTTATTGTTGTCTTTGTTGAACTTGCAGATTACAACGTGTGACAAAAATAAAACATATATGTGCCACCAGAAAACGCAGCCTCTTCTGTGTGTGCAACATAACGACACATACTACAATTGACCCTTCGCTAAGCCCCGCCCTCCCTAGTTACTGTTGCTACGCCTGACAAGCTTTCGCGTCTGGCACGTCTATTACAGTGTGTATGCACCGGTGTCAGACATTCCCAATGAGATAATTAGTAAGCAAGACAAAAGGGACTGCAGTATGCATTCAAGGGATATATCCATGACATAATATGCAACCGATTAGAGAATAATTCCATAAAAATTGAAGCTAAAGCCTATAGTCCCAGCACAAGCAGCAGCCGCCTCATACGCTGACCATTCAAATGGGAAACACACAAATTGAGGAACAGCTATGTTCGTGCACAGCAGGGTAAGTGAAATGTGAAAATAATCTAATAATTATAAATCAAACAGCTTATCCATAAATCTTGTGGAATAACACTAACACCGGGAGAGCCGCGATCGGATTGGGTTAAAGTTACTCAGTGAGGGGTAACGTTAGTAAGCCGTCGATTAACAAAATGCTGAAATATATTTTAAAGTATGTCAGTGAGCCTCCGTCTTGTCTTTAATCGTCTTATTTTACGTTAATATATGCATTATGATCAAAGGACCATCATTATTTCCAAGCAGTAGGTGTTTGTTAATCCTGTGGACATGTAGTTGTGAATGGGGTCTCCCACACTGCTGGATACACGCAGTAACTAAACACTAAAACAACTTTTTTTAGTTAATGATCTGTAAGAATGGAGCTTCATAAATGCTGTTCATTGATTCGAGTAAATTTTTTGACATTTGGGTATAAAGTGTTTTCATTTCCAAATTTATGGTGTAAAAACGTATAAGTGAGTGCTGCCCTCTTCAGGTTAAACGGAAAGCTCCTGCAGTAGGGTACTCTGTGACGTAGGGTACTCTGTGATGTAGGGTACTCTCTGTCACGCCCTTGGTGTGAGCTCACCACGCCCTTGCCAGCCCCTGGTATAAAAGCATCTGGTTCCGTCAAAACTACTGTAGCGGGTCAGGAGTTGGAATTACGAGTATAGATGTTATTCATTCTGTGTCATCAATGTTTGCGGCGGCCATATTGTTGACATAGAAACCACGGCAACTGTCATTCTGTAAATTTACATTCAAGGCAGCGTTGGTATTATCTATGGTATTATCACTGTATTTTTTTTTTTAAAACAGCGTGATGGTGTGTGGTGTAATACACGGCTGTTCTAACAACAGCAATAAGAACCCCAGTTAGTTTTTATGCGATAAGTTACCGACTGTCAGAAAACGTGAAGGGAAGGAGACAGAGTTGAGCCAGCGAAGGAGAGGCTAGCTAGGATAAATAGGCTAACTTTCAGCCAACTCCACACAGAAAAGTCTGTTCCCATCATTTTACCACAGGTTTCACACATAATCCGTGTGCAATGCTTGTGCGGTGCGTATACGGTACGGAAGCAGGACGCACTATAGTGCTTTATAATATGCTGCGTTTGCAGTGCGTAACGTTATATGATCCGCGGCTGTACCAAAAACACCCGGTACTCACTATTTTTATTTTAACACATACTCACTATTTTAACAACATAAGCCAATTATTCCATGCATTACTTCTATATATTAAGTTGCTCAAGCAAGTGGTCAAATATGTAACCATGTACTTATATTAAAATCGCAAACATTTTAAATTAAAACTTAAAATTGACAAAAACAACCGACTCTCATGCCTTTTCTTTTGCATTTACATTTTAATACAACAAATCTTGTATGTCACAAAGAACTTGTTTTTTTCACCTCCACGAATGAGACGAGTCTCGTTCATTATGTTGCCTTGTTGAGGTAAATTGTAGTTTGTATACGGACTGTATGAACGAGATAGTTATAAATATCCGGATAAGTTACGGCTGGCAATAAGGACGGATCTGTACTTAATGCTATTTGGTCTATTTGATGTGGGTCCACACCAATCAAGCTTATCTTCTCTTGAGACTGACGAGATGAAGCCAGGCTACTGCTCCCCTCAACTCAAATCTGCGCGCGGTTAGGGGCAGCAGGACAGTTGTCATGTCAACAATATGGCCGCGGTTAGCTGCTTCCGGTGTTTGCGAATAAGGTCTATTGAAGACGATCAGGATAGTTTTATATTTAAAAATCAACAAATAAAACAAGCAGCTCTATGCACTTTTTAAGGCAAGATTCTATTCTGTGGCCTTTCCTTCTGACCGTCGTCAATAGCAACGCATTATAACAGCGCAAATCCATGGATTACAACGGACGCGCTCTCTCGTTTCATTCAAATACAACTTGCCGTCTTGCGTCTCCGTTTTTGATTGTATTGAAAATGAAATCAGAGTTAATTTATTGTTAACAGAGTTTGATAATATTGTTGTGATCATCTTGTCTGGACGATTGTTTTGTATGCTGTACAAAATGGATTTATAAACAGGCAAGATTTAAAACATGCAAACTTTTCTTTGTGGAAGCTTCACGTTTATTTCAAGTGAGTAAGATAAAATATTTCAACTCAAAACAACATTTTGAAGTGCATTGCAGCGACTTTCAGACAGGGTGACCATTATCGATTAGTTTCCCTCAGGACTTTTGTAAAAGCCAAAATATGAACACACCTCAGATTTGGTCCTCTTAAAAGGCAGAAAAATCAGGTGAAGGTGGGGAAGAAAAGACTTCAAATGACGCTCTGTTGCAAAGCTACTTGCTTCACTCCAGTTGCTCTCAATTTTAACGAGTTTGACAACAGCTGTCAATTAATCCGTCAATGCGGGTCTCAGGTGCACGCCCCCCACTCCCCCCGCTCTCGGTTCGTCCCCTCTATCTCTTTTCCAGCATTTTTCAAATATTGCCAGTGGGTGGAGTCAGGCTCTTACCAGGGGTTTAGTTACCCTTTAAACATTAGATGGGCTCACTCCTCCCCAAATTACACTGTGAACTTCACTTAATAATACTTACAACAGACAAGTGAACTTTTCAAACAAAAACAATTGCTCTCAACTATATATTATTTTATTTACATGCGAATATAAATGTGAAAGAGAAGATTATAATTTCTAAACAAAATGCATTGGACAATCTAGACCAGATCAAGTGAAAGGTACAAAATGCTGCTAACTAGTAAAAATGTTTAGTTGGTCTGTAGAGAAGAAGAGACACTAACTTAATATAAAATAAAACGCTAACAAACCAACAAATATATTCTATACATACAATGAAAGGGAAAAAGTATATATACATTTCCATAACATGCAATTTTCACATTGTAGACTTTATATTATATGATGCATGTATGTGCTATACTTGACAATCACATTTATGATAAGAAACATTTTAATCATTATGTATGAGTTCAATCCAGACATTATTATATTAGTAGGCCTTAAACTAAAGATTTCTGCTGAGACTCATCTGATCTGCTTCCTCTGTTCCTCCTTTAAATAAAACTAAACCATCATTTGGCTGAATACTAAACCAACATTAATCATTCAATATCACATGTTTCTAATACACATGCTAACACATATGCTGCATTATTTAATTGAGTCTCTTCCACCTGTATGAAACACATTTACACATTAATCACACATTTATTTCTCCTCATAGACAGTAATGAGGCTCTTCTGTGGATCTCCTGATGGTTACTGATCCTCTCATCTCCGTTTCACAGATTTAAACTGGTGTAAGCGGTTTATTAGGGACGTTTGGTGATCGATCTTCATCTACTCTGTAAGGTGAAACCAGAAGAGAGAACAATCAGTGTTCAGTGGAACAAAGTGAACATTACTTACATTTTAATTACTGGGTTTTTTGTTGTAAAAAATAAGTTACATTAAATTCTTGTAATCAGTTCACATTATCTTGCAGAGATATTTCTCAAACAATATTTGAGTTGTAAGTATAATAGATGTAAAGCATGAATGAGGTTGATATGTGTGTGTGTGTGTGTGTGTTGGTGTGACTGCAGAAGGACCTGCGACTCCTATTGAGTCTCTGTAAAGGAGAAACACACGCTGATGAGTGTACGGCGTAAAGGAGAAACACACGCTGATGAGTGTACGGCGTAAAGGAGAAACACACGCTGATGAGTGTACGGCGTAAAGGAGAAACACACGCTGATGAGTGTACGGCGTAAAGGAGAAACACACGCTGATGAGTGTACGGCGTAAAGGAGAAACACACACTGATGAGTGTACGGCGTGTGGAAGAAACCACAGGGAGCAAATACAAATGTTATTTTCAGTTAAAACCCTTCAGTTAAAGTTCCACAAGTTAAAGCTGTTTGTCCTCTAGTTTAAACATGTTTGTAGGCTCTTAGTAAATAACAGAGTAAAGTAAGTGTAAAGTAGTGTGACGTGTTGCTTGTCACAGTAAAACACACTAGAGACAGAGACATGTATCATGTGAGCTGGACGCTGTGAGCTGGAGCTGGAACTGCACTGATTTTAGCAGGAGTGCAGCGTTTCCTACAATCTGACCAAGTCTGTTTTCACACTGAAATGATTCACTATTACTGACACAGTTAATAAAGCAGGTGTTGTTGTATAAAGATGTGACAGTGAGCTTTTGTTCCCTTTCCTCCTTTGTGTTAAACATTTTAATCAACTTCACATTTTGTTCTCACACAAACCCTGTGTTGCAACAAAGCTTAATGAGAATTTCCTTTAATTAATGTTTGAAAGGTTTGTTCACATATCCGAGGTAGATGAAGATCTATTTAATATCATAAAGTGATGTTTCCTCACCTCAGGACACAGTTTGAGTCTCGTAGCTCGTCTCTGAGCCGCTGCTTTGAGTCTCCTATATTATTGTATCTCAGATCAAGCTCTTTTAAGAACTTCAGTGCTTTTGAGTTAGTCAAAGACTGAGTTAAAGAAGAAACATCTGTAATGCCACAGTCCTGTAGACTAGAAATACAAACAGAGGAAGAGAGATTATCTTACAAACAAATCATTAAGGTGAATAATTTAACACAAATATAATGTGAGTATAAAGTGTTTTGGTTTAAACTGCCATTTTTGACTTTCCGGCGCACATACACTTTTAGTAAGGATCCTACACACAGTTTTATAAATGAGAACCCAGAAGATGCAATCCTACAGTATAATCAGTGTAACTTAAACTAAACAGTAAACTTTAATCACACTGTAACTGCTGTACAGTATAAAGATACTAACTGTAGTTTCTCCAGCTTGAATTGTGGGTTCATCAGTAGATCACTGAGGTTTTTCACTCCAGAGTCTCCTAGTTTATTCCCGCTAAGGTCCAGCTCTCTCAGGTGTGATGGGTTTGATTTCAGAGCTGAAGTCAGGATGAGACTCTGTTTCTCTGTAATACTGCATCTATACAGACTGAAGACAGAAAGAGAAAATGACTCAGATCCATGTTCAGTTCATGTGTGAGTTAAAAGCATCATTAATAAACGCCATACAGTCACTAATACACCAGCAAAATCATGGAAACTTAATGATGTGAACAAACCAAGACAGGAGCATTTGAGGAAACTAGTTACAATCCAAGTCTGGATCGTCCTCACTCCACAAATAAGTGAACTTATCACTGTAGATTAATATATAGGATCAATATAGAAACAATAGAAAAGTTGACATTTAAATGGACTGATTTTACATTTTCATCTTCAGAAAATCTAATTATAAAACGGTTAGTTCCAATCCTTGATTCTGATTGGTCAATAACTGTTTTATTCACGATAAACACGGGTATGACCGCTTCACCCAACGGCTCTATGTATCACTACACAACACCCCTAGCAACCACTCTTAGCAACGTAAACACGTGTTTGATCTCACTGATATTGTTCACTGAAGCTTATAGAGTAGAGTATTGTGAGAGATCGAGTAAGCGAGTGTTCCTGCATTTACAGTAGATATAGCATTTTCCTTCAGGTCAGACCTATATTCATAATAAAAAATCAGTTTGAATGTCTGCTGCGATATCTTGTCCTTTAACAGTCAAGGGGTTTTCCGTGCCCTAATCATTTATCAGTTGCGTCTTGCTTTTCCGTGTTAACAAGTTTGAGTCCTTTCAATATAAAAGTCTTCACTACTGACTGACTCACTCATAAAGAGTCTTTGTCTTCATCTAATGGCGAAAATATGTATGTAACTTCTGTTGCTGTTTACGGTCAGGGACTATTTTTTCCAGCGGAAGGAAGGCTTTTAGTGATTTTACTTCATGCAAGTTGCATGGATAGATATTTTTCGGGTTTAATATTTGTATTGTGTGGTACCCGCTTTATAAAAGCAATAACGTACTGGAGGCTAGTGCTGTATTCTGAATCAGTCACGGCTGACTCCGCTTCGCGTCGAGCCTAACAACGCCCTTCAGCCGTGACTTATTTACCATACAGCACAGCCTCGAGTACCTTACTTCTTACATACACATTCTGCTTAATAAATTAAGATTTAGTGGAAAGTGCCAGTAGTCCAGTATAACTGTAACTCTGTCAGAATAATTTACTGTAATTGTTACGCTGTTTTTAGTCTGTTATCACTTCTGTATTATTTCAAAGCAAAGATTAGTCAGATTTCAGTATATAAACAATTTTATGGCTACATAGTTTCAAATGCTTCACAGTTTAATACTCTTCCTACTGATACACATAAACCGTTAACTAATAGTATTTCTGAATCTTTCTTCAGATGGAGAAACAGTAGAAAGTGCAGTGCTATAAATGATGAGACTTGAGTCCAGTTGTTAAAATCAGGGGTGTCTGGCCAATAGAGGGCGCTATGAGCCAGCCCACAGTTTAAGAGCCACAAGCAATCAATAAATAAGGCCCGGCTAGCTGATGCGCTAATGCTAATGCCTTATGGTGCTTTCCATTCTTACTTTTTAAAACAACAGGGACAGATCCAGCATCAGTTACCGGAGTGAGGGATATGAAGCACTGTCTGAGAGAGTAACTAACGTTAAACAGTTTGAGTTCAATTTCAAATGCAAATTTTGTGCAATATGTTTGTTTTTGTGTAAGAATGCCTCAACCTTTTAATATTGGCATTAAATAATTGCTGACTTTTTCACAGAGCACTGGTACCCTGCAGTTTGTATTGTGTTTGGGTGATTATTAATATGATTTTTATGTATATAAGCCTAGCGCCTTTCCAACACCCAAGGTCGCTTCACAAAGATAGGTTAAGGCAGTGTTTCTCAAACTGGGGAACATGAGGTGACAGAAGCGGGTAACGTTAGCCTACATGAACAAAATGCTGAAAATTGCCGTTCATTCAAGTCTTAAAATAACATTAAAACTTAGCATGTATTTCTAGCAGGTAAAATGCCGTAAATAGACTACGTGACATTCGATCAAATTAAATCTTTCGCGGTGAACACTGATGATTCACACAAGCAGCGAGCATATGATGTTTCGTGCAGATTATACTGTCTTGGCAAACCGTGCGCACTGCCGTTCTCAACAATGTACCTTCGTAAAAGTGGGGATTTAGCACTTACTAGCACAGAGAACAAATATATACACAGATTTCTGTGCATAGAGATCGATTTAAGATTCAAACTCTTCGATACAAAAACACCCTGTGTGAGTTCCTGTGTTTAATGTAGATCACATTATACCAATATCCACACGATTTCAAATGTGACATTGATTTTATACAGCAGTTCAACAAACGATAGGTATTAATATTAAGTTCAACAAACGATAGGTATTAATATTAAGTTCAACAAACGATAGGTATTAATATTCAGTTCAACAAACGATGGGTATTAATATTCAGTTCAACAAACGATGGGTATTAATATTCAGTTCAACAAACGATGGGTATTAATATTCAGTTCAACAAACGATAGGTATTAATATTAAGTTCAACAAACGATAGGTATTAATATTCAGTTCAACAAACGATAGGTATTAATATTCAGTTCAACAAACGATAGGTATTAATATTAAGTTCAACAAACGATAGGTATTAATATTAAGTTCAACAAACGATAGGTATTAATATTCAGTTCAACAAACGATGGGTATTAATATTAAGTTCAACAAACGATGGGTATTAATATTAAGTTCAACAAACGATAGGTATTAATATTAAGTTCAACAAACGATAGGTATTAATATTAAGTTCAACAAACGATAGGTATTAATATTAAGTTCAACAAACGATGGGTATTAATATTAAGTTCAACAAACGATAGGTATTAATATTAAGTTCAACAAACGATAGGTATTAATATTCAGTTCAACAAACGATGGGTATTAATATTCAGTTCAACAAACGATGGGTATTAATATTCAGTTCAACAAACGATGGGTATTAATATTCAGTTCAACAAACGATGGGTATTAATATTAAGTTCAACAAACGATAGGTATTAATATTCAGTTCAACAAACGATGGGTATTAATATTCAGTTCAACAAACGATAGGTATTAATATTAAGTTCAACAAACGATGGGTATTAATATTCAGTTCAACAAACGATGGGTATTAATATTCAGTTCAACAAACGATAGGTATTAATATTAAGTTCAACAAACGATAGGTATTAATATTCAGTTCAACAAACGATGGGTATTAATATTCAGTTCAACAAACGATGGGTATTAATATTAAGTTCAACAAACGATAGGTATTAATATTAAGTTCAACAAACGATAGGTATTAATATTAAGTTCAACAAACGATGGGTATTAATATTCAGTTCAACAAACGATGGGTATTAATATTCAGTTCAACAAACGATGGGTATTAATATTCAGTTCAACAAACGATAGGTATTAATATTCAGTTCAACAAACGATAGGTATTAATATTCAGTTCAACAAACGATAGGTATTAATATTCAGTTCAACAAACGATAGGTATTAATATTCAGTTCAACAAACGATAGGTATTAATATTCAGTTCAACAAACGATAGGTATTAATATTCAGTTCAACAAACGATAGGTATTAATATTCAGTTCAACAAACGATAGGTATTAATATTCAGTTCAACAAACGATAGGTATTAATATTCAGTTCAACAAACGATAGGTATTAATATTCAGTTCAACAAACGATAGGTATTAATATTAAGTTCAACAAACGATAGGTATTAAGATTAAGTTCAACAAACGATGGGTATTAATATTAAGTTCAACAAACGATAGGTATTAATATTAAGTTCAACAAACGATAGGTATTAATATTAAGTTCAACAAACGATGGGTATTAATATTCAGTTCAACAAACGATGGGTATTAATATTCAGTTCAACAAACGATGGGTATTAATATTCAGTTCAACAAACGATAGGTATTAATATTCAGTTCAACAAACGATAGGTATTAATATTCAGTTCAACAAACGATAGGTATTAATATTCAGTTCAACAAACGATAGGTATTAATATTAAGTTCAACAAACGATAGGTATTAATATTAAGTTCAACAAACGATAGGTATTAATATTAAGTTCAACAAACGATAGGTATTAATATTAAGTTCAACAAACGATGGGTATTAATATTAAGTTCAACAAACGATAGGTATTAATATTAAGTTCAACAAACGATGGGTATTAATATTCAGTTCAACAAACGATGGGTATTAATATTCAGTTCAACAAACGATGGGTATTAATATTCAGTTCAACAAACGATAGGTATTAATATTCAGTTCAACAAACGATAGGTATTAATATTCAGTTCAACAAACGATAGGTATTAATATTCAGTTCAACAAACGATAGGTATTAATATTCAGTTCAACAAACGATAGGTATTAATATTAAGTTCAACAAACGATAGGTATTAATATTCAGTTCAACAAACGATGGGTATTAATATTAAGTTCAACAAACGATGGGTATTAATATTAAGTTCAACAAACGATAGGTATTAATATTAAGTTCAACAAACGATGGGTATTAATATTAAGTTCAACAAACGATGGGTATTAATATTAAGTTCAACAAACGATGGGTATTAATATTAAGTTCAACAAACGATAGGTATTAATATTAAGTTCAACAAACGATAGGTATTAATATTCAGTTCAACAAACGATAGGTATTAATATTCAGTTCAACAAACGATAGGTATTAATATTCAGTTCAACAAACGATGGGTATTAATATTCAGTTCAACAAACGATGGGTATTAATATTCAGTTCAACAAACGATAGGTATTAATATTCAGTTCAACAAACGATGGGTATTAATATTCAGTTCAACAAACGATGGGTATTAATATTCAGTTCAACAAACGATGGGTATTAATATTCAGTTCAACAAACGATAGGTATTAATATTCAGATCAACAAACGATGGGTATTAATATTCAGTTCAACAAACGATAGGTATTAATATTCAGTTCAACAAACGATAGG